GGATTCCCCTCAGGGTACACTATTCATGCAGTGGGTTAGGACTTAACCCTTGTAGAACTGGGTGGTAAGCAGCACATCTCTGTTCTTCTTTGTTCATATTAGACAAAAGAAAAGAGTAAAACATATAACATATTTTGTATGGTCATATCATATATATATATATATATATATATATATATGACAATTTATGCTCTAATCTTTATTTAGCCTCCTTACATTATAGAATCTATATTTTGATGAATAAAAGAAAAATATTTCTGGAGTCTTTCCTTTTTATTTCCTAGTTAGGTTTACCTTGATTATTGAGAGAGGGTTGTTAATATTGGACATTCCACACTTTGTGAAAGTTGAATATCGAAGGCCCAGTACAGGTGTCTTTTATTTCTGGGTTCTAGTGCAAAACAATATCATTCCCTAAAATGTCTAAAACGTATTATTCATTTTGTATTTTGGCCAGCAATCACATTCTGCAAAGATGTGAGAAAACACAATCACTAATAAATGTTTCAGCTCATTGGTAACTTTTAAGTTGTCTCCCAATGGGACAGCTCTGGACACCTACCGACCATCCCACCTTGAAGCTGTGTGCAAGTACCAGTGAGCCTCAAACAGTCTGTACCTCGCTCCCCCACCTATTCCATATGCCTGCCTCTGAAAATCCTTCCTGAGTGAACCTCAGTAATACTATGACCCTTTTTTAATAACAGAGACCTTCTAGAGTCTTATATTGTATTTTTAGTTGAATGTCCATGGACCTTATCTACTTAAGAAAAGGCATGCTCCTTAAAAACAGAGTAAATTGTGAATTCTCCAATAACAGAGCCAGTGAAGGCATCACAGAAAACTGAGCCTGAGTCATGAGGAAAGGCTTGGACAAGCAAAGGGAAGAAAAGGAGAGAAGACATGGGTAAATGAGAAAATGGAGATGCCAATGGTATGTTCCAGAGCATCAGATACTTCCTGGAACATGCCAAGGGAAGAAAACTCACCTAGAAACAAAGATAGCATGACTTCTGTTATTGTTCCTCTAGGGTAACAAGACACTCCCCATTTTTTAGTAATAACTTTTGAATATTTTATAAGCTAATACCAGATGTTTTGGCAAAAACATTTAAGTCATAATTTATCTGCTCAAAAATTTAAAAAGCAGGTGGTGGTGGTGGCAATGGTGGTTAGCATTTGGAATGTGACCCTCTTTAGAAAATCATACATATTCCAGTTCTTCAGGACTCTTATTGCTCAGACTTGAGGCTTCATTTATTAATGCCACTTGCCTGGCCCTAAGAAGCTTGAATTTGCAACCCTATATTAGTTTTCTAGAGCTGTCGCAATGAAGTACCACAAATTGAGTGCCTTAAACAACAGAAACGCATTGCCTCACAGTTCTGGAGGCTGGTAGTCTGGGATCAAGGTGTTGGCAGATCCTGCTCACTCTGCAGGTGCTAGGGAAGGATCTGTTCCAGCCTCTTCCCTAGCTTCCTATAGTTCTTTGGCTTGTGACAGCAGAACTCCAACATTCTCATGGCGTTCTCCCTGTGTGAGTGCCTCTGTGTCCGAATTTCTCCTATTTATAAGGATACCAGTCATATTGGATTATAAGCCCATCCCACTTCAGTATGACCACATCTTAAGTGATTACATCAGCAAAGACACGATTTCCAAATGAGGTCACATTCTGAGGTACTGGAGGTAAGTACTTCAACATATGCATTTTGGAGGATACATTTCAATGCATAGCAAATCCTGAGAAGACACTGGATTGCTAAAAAAAGTTACTTCTTCCACTTTTTCTTTTTTTTGTAAGTATATTTCTCCAGTTCTATGTTCTTAATGTACCCAACTGTCACATTTAAGTATTCCATGGTGTCCAAGTTGTCCCCTGAACCACTGTTCTACAAGCTGAACCAGAAAGAGTAAGTAGGGCATGGAAGCCAGTCTAAGGAGGTGAGTGCTCTAGAATGAGCACGAGGTCCACATCAAGGAAGACAATAGCTCTGAGAGACCCTGGGGGCTTGGTGGGTCTGGGAAAGGTCTCAACACTAAGAAGATGCAGGAAGGATGATGGAGGTATCATATAATTTATCATCCAAATAGGATACTACTAACAGTGAAAAGGAGCCCTGTTAATAATTCTGTTCTGCTTTACGGGGTAACTCTGTCCCTGGCAACTGAGACAAAGACCACCCTCCATGGTGGCATTGTAACCACCACTTCAAATTAGCTTTGCTAATAATAGCAAATATTAGCAGATGCTAATAATTTCCATCCATCAGAGAGTCAAGTGGTTTATTTTTGTTCTCTCCAAGCAGCTGTCCACACCAAAGCCTATATAGGTATATAATATAATTATTTTGATCCAGGAGGGCACTTGAAGGATCTTTTATTTGAGTCCTGTAGACACTTGTAATGGGGGAGCAAAAATTGTCAGAGTTATATTTTGGAAAGGGAATTGAATTACTATAACTCCTCAAAGAGAGAACTAAGATACGGTATGTTTTCCTGAATGCAAAGGTGAGACTTTCTCAAATTAGAATTCCTGTGCTGACTAGCATCCCTAAAACTCAAAGTCATGGGGAAAATAGTGAAGGAAAGGCGAGCACCATTTGTCAAAGATGTGGCCAAGATAATGCTGCCGTCAGGATGAAAGTTTTGTGTCATCTACACGATGTAAAATTATTTCGGATTACCGTATAATGAAAGGGAATGAAAACAATGGCAAGCTTTCCCATCAATGCTTGTCCATCATCGCCATGCTGCGGCAGGATGAATACAGGGCCTGGCAGGCCTTAGCAGTCCTTGGAGAATATTAAATACAGGCACCAATGGAGCGCATTGAGAAGCAATTTCTCTCCCGGAAGCCCTAAAGCCTTTTAAGTAGTTCAGGCTTCACTGTTCACATCCAGTTGCCAAAAAGCAAATGAATTGCCTGATTTGAAAGACATTTGTTTCCCTAATTTTTTGGCAGTCAGGATGATCCCCTTGTTTTACCCATAATCAGGCCCCACAGAACTACATGACTGTGTACTAACAATGTGAAAGAAACAAAGCATGGTTTTCAGGTGACCGGGTTGCCTCAATCTGCTTGCAGACTGTCCCAAGGGAGCCTGTGGAGCTGGCTGTTCTTCAGAATGTCAGTGTGTGGAGGAGAACACCCTGGAATGCAGTGCCAAAAATGGCAGTTGCACCTGCAAATCTGGTTACCAAGGCAACAGATGACAGAAAGGTACTATCTGACTATAAATTTTCTTTCTTCTCTAATAACAATGCTCAGCTTTTGTTTAGCACCATACGATCGTTAATTCGTTAATCCACCAGAGTCCTCAGGAGAGCAGTAAACTTTATTAATCCCCTATTTGCAGGTGAGGAAACTGAGACATGGGGCAATAAAGTCATTTAACCTTGTTTTCTTAGCCTCTGATGTTAGCTGTCCCCTTGCTGACTTGAGCAAGGGAAGAAAGAATGCAGAGAATCTTATCCTAAGGAGATGAGAGCTGGCCAATCACTTCTTTGAGCTTAGCTAATCAAGTAAGGGCTGCTAGCTTCCAGAGTTAAAGAATCATTTTCTTTATATCTAAAGATAGACTATTCAAATAAATACAAGAGAAACCATAGAAAATTTTTGGAAAATTTAAATATGGCTATCAGTGTGGTCCTTTCTCAAATTTCTAAACAATTTCTTTATAAATCTGTAAAAGTTTATGTGCAGCATAATTCCAATGATAAGTAGCATGTATAGATATATGTGTGTGTGTAGGTGCATATAAAATTTGGAAAAAGGTATTCCAAGATGTTAGTAATGGCTCTCTCTGGTTCACGGACTCACGGAATGCTTCTCCCGATGCATCTACATGGCTCTCTCGTTTTCTCAAAAACTTGTATTTTACCTTTTCACTGAATCTTGTCAGTACAAACCTACTTAAAATTGCAACTTGCCAAGTCTCCCTGAACTTTTGCATTTTTCCAAAGTGCTTACCATATACTCTCATTATTATTATTATGCCTAATATTTATTGCCTGCCCTTCCTCCTAGAAGCTAAGCTCCAACAAGGGGAGGATAGCTATTCATTTTTTTCACCAAAGTATCCCCAAACTCCTAGAACAATCAGGACATATAGAAGTTACTCAATAAGTATTTTATTAAGTGAATATATAAATGTGAATCATCAATTTTTATTCTTTATTCATTTTTCTCATACATTCTGAATTGAGCACATGTTACTGTATTATTTAGGGGAAATTATCACAGCATTTTTTTTTTCTCTTCAATACACAGCAGAACTGAACATATAACAAATACAATTATCATAACCAATGGCAAGTGAACTTTTTGCCTTTGAAGTGATCCAAAGCGATCTTGTTTAAAATCAGGAGAGAGGGACTTCCCTGGCAGTATAGTGGTTAGGACTCCACGCTTCCACTGCAGGGGGTGCAGGTTCAATCCCAAGTTGGGGAACTAAGATCCCACATGTCAATAAATAAATAGGTAAATTAAATCAGGGGGAGATAATAGGGTTGTAAGGAAGCTGTCATACTGTTGGGTCCACTTACAAAGGCAGGGACTGGGGTGGGAGGTTGTCCTTGGCTCTCGTGTATTACATGTTCCTCCATGCATTGTCATCTTCAAAGGGTCTGCATGGCTTGTTCAAGCTGACTGAAAGGGAGTAAGGGTCTTCCAGGTTGCCTGTGGCTGTGGAACTGGCTATGGAACTAGAGTATGTGAACAGCAATGTTCATCAAGATTTTGTAGAGATTAGGGCTATATATGTAGCTGGATTGTGACTTTCTAGGCAATGGGGAAGAGAAGTTGGGGAAACAGAAGGCTGACATTACACGAATGCCTTTAATAGGGTATGAGTGTGCGTCCCATTCCAATATCTAAGCCTCCTTCTGCTTCAACTGGTTTTTAAACCTAGAGTCAGCCCCTTATTCATTCGCCCCCTAGAGAAGTCGTGCCCTAGAAGTCAACACATGGGAGACAATACCATATACACACACCTGGGTAAATTTAATTTACTCTGATAACATTTTCTCAAAGCAACTGCTGAATATACTATGTTGGAAAATGCTTCTGAGATTCCCACTGTGAAGGAAAATGAGTTGAAAGTATATGTAAATCAGCAAACTAGAGGTCACCATCATCTCAGGAAAACATATTATTTTTCAGTCAGATAACTTTGTCCAATTCTGATATTTTTGTGTAACCACAAAATGAAATTATGACTCAGACTGGAGCGGGTGAACGGGATCGCCATGATTGGCAGCTGAAATCAAGGCTAAAAATGCTTTCTAAGTGTCGTTGCATGATGAAAATCAGGACTGTTGTTCTTCTTTCTGTTTTTTAAAAGAGTGAACTAGCCCAAGTGCTCCTAGAGCCAGACGTATCTTTAAAAATCTTGACTCCAGACCTGTGTCTAGATTGCAGATGAATAGTTAATTAAAGACTGCAAATTGTTTCAATGGCACTAATGAACAGTGCTCTCCACAATCAGCACCAGGCCTTGTTTAGCCCATCGGGGATGACTTTTAAGAGCAGAAGAGCTGGTTTCTATACTAATCTGTGAAATAGCAAAAAAGGGAGAGAGAGAGAGAGAGAGAGAGGAAAAAAAAAAGGTGTCTTTGCCTTGTTTTGATTAATTTGTTGCCTGGGGTATTTTGGACCCCAGCGGCAGGCAGACCTGAATGTAGAGGACTCTGGCCCAGCAAGCCTCTTGAGTCCATCTAAGGAGGCTTGTTCAACCTTTGTGTCACCATAAAAAGGACAGATTTTTGTTACAGTAGTTCCACACTGATGGCCTTGAAATTTTGAACACCAGTGGGTCTCTAAGAGTGGGTTAATTGACTTGAAAAGTGCTGAGTACTTAGTACTGCAACATAAGCTGGGTGTAGTGGCTGAGAGCAACAGTTTCACAAGTCAGATCTGGATTCGAATACGGACTTTGCTACTTATTAGCTGTGTGACCCAGAATAAGTCACTTAGCTCCTCCAAGCCTCAGTTTCTTATATAAATGGAGATAAAGTTGCTTATGTCGTATAGTGACTTTTATGGATATGTGAGCTAATTTATGTAAAGTGCTTGTCACAGAGGAAGTGATCAACAGACAGTAGCCAGGAATTGTATGAACATCCCAGAAAATTTAATAATTCTGTTATTCAAAGATTCTGCTTAGGACAAGAAGATACTTAACAGCCCAATGTGGTTTGATGTAACTTTCTGTAATTGTCACATGTTTAGGAAAGTTTCACTGTTTTCCCTGTGTTGAAAGCATGCTTTCCTCCAGGTTTCTAATTCCAGTGATTTCAATGGAGGCTGAAACCTCAGTGGTCCCTGTAGCATCAGCCATCCTTTTCTAGTTCAAAGGGCATCCAGTGAAGCAGCACAGTTCCTCTTTCTCCACCTTATACATTGCCCGCTCTTATAAAACACACAAATTACAAACCTCTTGGGTGATTATTCTGACTTATGAAATAAGCAAAGACTGGGAGAACAGGATTCAGGTAAACATTTGGGGACAGCTTCCCAAGCGCTACACCTCCCAAGCTTCCTTTACAAATTACATCTCATTTCAGATTTTGTGTGTGCAACTGCCTCCAAAGATATGTATCGAAATTGCTTCCATTGTTACATCTGCAAAACCACATTTTCAGCAAAAAGCCAACCTCTGTATCTGTGTTTCCAAAGTGACAAGATATGGCATCGTGCTGATTTCTTCAGGGAATATTTTTGAAAGTGCTATAAATCCTTAGAGGCTACTCTGTTTCTTTCTTTGCAACTCATACACACTCACCCGCACACACACACACACTTTTCCAACTCACTTAGGCAACAGCAGAAACCTGGGACCACCTTGAGATTTATTACAAGTCTTAGCTCCTTTCTTTCTCTCTCATTTTATAAGCCTGCCCTAACGGCCTCTGGGGACCAGATTGTCCGTTCTCCTGTGGACCCTGTGAGAATGAAGGTCAGTGCAACAAAAAAACTGGAAACTTTGAGTGTCTTCCTGGTTACACGGGAAAAACCTGTACCATACGAAAGTCATTAACTAGACAAGATGATCAACAAAGTTATTAAAATTGTTAGCTTTATAAATGCTTTTTAAAAACTGCTCTATGAGCTATGATAGAAGAGTATATGTTTAAATTACCTATTGTATAACAAACATCCCAATACTTGGTAACAAATCCTGTCAACAACAATTTATTATTTTTTTGATTCTGTGGATTGATAAGATAGTTCTCCTTCTGGTCTCACCTGGAATCACTAGTGGCTGCTTCTAGCAAGCAGATTAGCTGGGAACTGGGCTTGACTAGGCTTCTTAATCAGGGGAATCTGGCCTTTTCTATACATAGCACTTCCACAAGGTTAGCTTGGGCTTCCTCATTGCATGGCAGTCTCAAGACAGCAATCCAAGAAAGAGCATCCCAAAAGTGGGAAAGCAGAAGGTACAATGCATCAAAAAGCCTACCTTCAGAAGCCACACATAGTTACTTCTGCCACATGCTATTGGTTAAGTCATAAGGACATACAGATTCAAGGGGAGGAGAAACAGATTCTACCTCCTGATGGATGAGAGGAGTAGCAAAATCTCGTGGCAAAAGACCTGCAAGCTGGGAGATATTGTTGCAGCCATCTTTGGAACCAATCTATCATAACATTACTATTTAAAGTTATACTGAAAGGCACTTTAAGAATCTGCTAGACTGTATTTATCATGCTTGTCAGAGAGAGAGCAGATTATAGACTGATAAAAAGTGATTAGTTAAACTCAATCTGCTTCAAAGAGCCAGTAGAACTACTTCCTTGCTATCTCTTTTTCTGCTTGTGATTCTTACCCTGACTGTATTGCATTCTCTACTCCATCCACGTTGAAACAGGGTAACCTGAGAACTTGAGGACAGCTGTGGGCTGGATGGTAATGATGGTATTTTTACATTACTATTTCAAATGTGTCTGATAAAGGTTAGCAAAAGTCTATTGTTTGGATTGTCTATGATGTTATGAGGTGCGAACAGTGATCTGAATTAGCTTCCAGTGCTTAGAACTTTCTATAAACCAACAAGCAAATAAAACCAGAAACTTAAACATAAATATAAAAAGTAACACCAGGATAGTATTTAGCACTTAGCCAATCATCTGATCATTTGGGAAAATGCATTACTGCTCCTAAGGATAACCCTCAACAAGAGTGATAGGACAAGGTCGTTGCCTGATGATTTTTC